CGAATGCCGTGAGGTCCTACAGTACGACGATGTACAACGCTTTGCGGACGAGGAAACAAAGGAGCGGTAAGGTATTCCCTTGTCATTTTGCAGGTCGACACGCTTGGCTAATGATCATAATTGTCTTAGATATCAAACATTGTCGTTCCGTTACGTGATATCCGAGGCCGAGAACTTCCTGTGGTGCACGTCAGGCTGCGGCTACGGTCAGGTTCACGACGGCGGAGTCGAGCGGCCGATAGTGACATGCCTCCTTTGCAACCACCGCTCCTGCTTTCATCATAAGTTGGCATGGCACGAAAACCTGACATGCGACGAGTACGACGCTCTCCAGGCAGACCCAACCAACTTTCGTAGCCGCTTCGAGCTTGAAAACGAGGCAGCGGATGCAGAGGCCGTGGCACGCCGAGCTCAGGAAGACGCTGACCGAGCCTTTGCGCAAAGTCTGCTCGCAGAGGAGCAACAGGCTGCCGAACGGAAGAGAATAGCACAAGCGCAAGCGGAAGCGCGGAAGAAGGAACAAGAAGAGCGAGAGATGCGCGTCCGGCTGGCCGAAGAGGCTCGGAAAGAGGCGGCGCGACGCAAGAAAGAGGAGGAGGCGACCGTGAAGACTATTGGCAGTACGACGAAACCATGTCCTGGGTGTCAAGCACCCATCGAGAAGAACAGTGGCTGGTGAGTCTCCATTCTGGCAGGCTTTGCGCAAGTGTCGATATGCTAACTTGGTTATTGCAGCGCACACATGACATGTAAGGATTCTCTGTTTGAATTCTTCCCGTTTTGCCCGCCGATACCTGCGAACTGGATACCACCGAAACATGTCGGCCTGACGGCGAGGGAGGTGCGCTCGAGTGAGAAGGCGGCGGCGGCGTGGGCGCTTCAAGTGAAGTGGTACACTTGGTAGCTCGAAGCATATATTAAAGCGCGGAGACTAGGTTCGAAATGTCGCTACGAGTGGTGCTGGGGATGCAACGCGCACTGGTGGAATAGATCGCATCCCACTTACTGTACTGCTGCACGTTTTTACGGCTAGTTTCTGTCTGCCAATCCCCAATCCCTGTGGTAAGGTTCTGGACGGCTTCGATTTTTCACCGTTGCAGAGTTTGTATACCGGAAGACCGAGGGAGACAATTTTTCTGGTCTCGAGAAAACTGGTCACAGTTATGATTTGTTCGGTCAGATATTCTGACGTTTCTGTTTTGTACAGGCACCACATGCAAGCACGAATTCTGCTGGGACTGCCTGGCTGGATATCGGCAGATTATCCAGGCGGACAACAGAGCTCATTCGAAGAGTTGCCCATGGCACCCCGATAATCTCAAGGACTAGACTCTCCTGGTCCTGGGATTGGATAATTGGACAAAAATATAATAAACAGGTTGGGTTATTGGAGAAAAAGTTGAGTTTGTATTTATGTATGGATTTTGGCACTGGCTTGGATGCGAAATAATGGTTTGCTTAGAGGTGGAGACCGAAGAGAGGACCGAGGAAGAATATATCGCAGAGACGAGATATTAGAGGCCGTCTTTGTTCGGGGTCTTGTAAAATGGATGGATGGTATATGAGAAGAGGAGATTTTGCGGTTGTATTTGGTCACTGTGGGCGTTTGGGCTGCTCTTTACAGGCTACTCGAGTTGCACCTTCAGGCAAGAAAGGATATCTCACTAAATCTGAATAATAAACATACGTTTTCCAGATGCGCTAAATCATCTACATATGAGGTTGCGTAATGGCCCTGGTTCTTATAATAGTGTCAGTGTCATCAAGTTTGTTTTGTCAAGACACCCCCTTTTCACCAACGAGAGTTCTCGGTATTCCCTTCTGCGGCCTAGCGTTCATCTTCATCGCCCTTGCATGCCGTACATCTCATTTTGACAGAACATCAGATATAATACCACCTCCATTGTTCAATCAGGAGAATTACCTGCCTTTCCGCCATTTCAAGACAGAAAATGAAAGTCCAGCAGTTTCGAACTTGACGTCCGGCGCGTCAGGTACTTTTAACTTTTAGGGTTGGGGTTATTGCCCGCCCTGACACGCTGCGGTGCATGTCAGTTCGTCGCCCACCAAAGTCCCGTGGATTGCATGCAGACCGCCCCACAATTCTCCGCTTGCGGGGCCAACCTGTGAGCACATAAATTTCTTTCGCAACGCCAAAACAAAATTCTCTTCCCTTCTCTTCTCTTTCCCCACACAGACACACCCCCACCATCCAGTCCAGCACTGCAAACCCAAATTGAAGTCGCGGGATCGGATCGTGTGCCGCGGATGCACTCGTCCTAAAAGGATGTGCGGCCCTTGATCTCCTGACAATGCGGCTCTTGCTCGTTCGTCACGGGGAGACGGTGGACAATGTCGCCGGGCTCTAGTAAGTTCTCTGCCGTCCTAGAGTTGGGCTCTGACAATAAAGCTAACGGGTGACCAAAGTTCAGGTGTTCGTGACTCGCCATTGACGGCGCACGGGGTGCTCCAGGCGCGACGGTTGGCAGCGCATCTGGTCTCGTCGTCGTTTGGATCACCCATCGAGCGCGTCTTCTCGTCGGACTTGCAGCGCGCAGCGAATACAGCACAGGCTATTGTCGATACCGCCGCCGCCGCTTCTTCAACGAAGTTTGGGATCCCCGATCGAGCGGCGCCCATTCCTCTCGTCAAGGTCACCGAGTTGCGCGAGCGAGACTTTGGGTCGGCCGAGGGGAAGCGCTTCGGGACGCCACGCACTGATGCTGAGACGCATGAGGAGATGAGGGTCCGGGCAGAGCGGTTTGTTCAGGCTCGGCTTGGACCACTGCTTGTTCGCGATGCTGTCTCTGGCGGTGCGAAATCTGTGGGCACGGTTGTTATTGTTGCTCATGGGATCATTCTCAACTCGCTGTTACGCGCGCTGTTGATGAGATATGCGCCTGCCGAGTTGGCTCGGTTGACTGGGCCGGGTCCTGCTGGTCAGTCGGTGTATCTCGCTTCGTGGAGTAACACTGGCTATTTGCAGGCGGTTGTCAAGGCGGGTCCTACTTCTGGCCTGTTCATTGGTGGCAGTTCTCGGTCCTCTGTTACATCATCGGGAACACTCCCATCGGGACCGACTATTGGCCTTGTTGTCGAAAGGGTAAATGTCTTGGATCATCTCGAGGGCTTGAAAAAGACTCGGGGCGGTATTGGGAGTGCTCAGTACGACAACAGGCAGAGGACGATCAGTTCATTCTTTGGCCCGGCTACGAAGAAATTGAGGGAGGCGCAGAGCTGAGACGGAAGTCCAGCCTGGCTCCTCGGAGCTGGCGCTCGCTCTTCATTGAGCGGCGCCAGACGCTATCTCCAAAGGTATGTCTAGATTTTTTTTTAATTTCCCCAACCCTCTTTTATGATGAGAAACCGAATTCACAGACCTGTACCGAAACAACAATGTGGAAAAACGTCCAACCGCTATCTGAGAAAGAATTTTACACTGTCCTTGGTTTGAACCTTATTGGCAATTCACGGTGCTAACTTTCTGTATTAGGGAGATTATCATTGCCTCAGCTTCTTCGATGTAGTGGAGAAGAGGGGAAATCGGTCGGGCTGAGCTTGTCGACTGGCTTGACTGAAACATGGCACCGAACCTCGAAGTTCGTCCAATTTCAAACAGTTGGTGAGATAAAGCAATTCGGGTTGATGACTTGCCAAGATGGAATGCTTGTGCAAATATCCCTATGGTCCTCTAGAAATATAATATAAACTTTGATACCCAGGCTTCAGATCTTTCCATGGCCTCGTTTGCTCCGTGACCTTTCATCGCCAATGATCACTTGTCACATCTATGCCTGTTAGTACAATTGTTGACCTCATGACATATCACGATCCAAGTCTGAGCACACTTTGACGCTGTTGATAATACCGAGACAACTTGTTGCTCAGTATGGCAAGTCCGCACAACTGTGATAAACACCCTAGACAATGAATGACCTCCATTAACTCTCGTCTTCCTCATCCTCATCAGACCCCGAACTCTCACCGACGCCGTCCCCATCCGCCTCCTCGGACGGCAACACCCGTGGAAACCAGCCGTACTCTTTCAGATCGACGCACAGTTCCCCCATGGCGGAGGTCGTGACGGTTACCCCCTCGGCCTGGAGCGCGGCCGCTTGGTTGGCGGCTCCTGATGGTTGTTCTTGAGCGGATCTGTTTCCTCATCATCACAGTCAGTCGATCAAGCACCATTTGCTTTAATGGCCAAAACTATCACTTAAAAACATTGTGTGTTGGGACATGACATGACATGACAGATGGAAAAGGGTTTGTAACCGGGCAAAGAAAAAAAAGGTAAACTCACCGCGGCGAAATGATGCCTTGCGAGTTGATGACTCGTTGCCAGGGGACGGTAGCATGGTTGAACCGTTGGGACAAATCGGACGGGAGATGCTTCAGAACGACGCCGACTTGGCGGGGACGTTGTGCTAACAACAACATCAAGAGACACAGTCAGATAAAAGGTAAACACTTCCATCGACCATGGTATGTACAAATAAGAGCAAACAGATTTGATATAATGTACTTACGAGTCCCAATCAACTTGGCAATATGTCCGTAGCTGGTCACCCTGCCGGGCGGGATCTCCTGCACGGCGCTGCAGACGGCTTGAAAGAAGGCCGTTGCTTCCTCGGAGCGGGGCATCTTTGTTGCACCAGGTCTTCTTGGTTTGTTTTGTTATAAAAGTTTGACGACTTGGTCGCGACGAAAGAGATGGACTGGCGCCAGTCACGCAACGTCAAAAAGATATTCCAGCAGGTGGTTTGTGTGCTGTCGGCGGAAGGGCGGGCGCTTTGCCACCAACCAGTAATCGCCGCCAGAGATACACACCGTCAGAACAGCACAGTGGCCAAGGCAATAGTGATCGTGTTATTTATTGGAAAATAAAAATGTGGTTGCTCGATCGGCGGGTAACCAGATACATCCAAAGAAAAGACAATGGCCATGGTGGGAAGACCCCCCTCGCAAGAAAAAGGGGGAGAAAGGGACCACCAAAAAGTTGGATACACCCGGGATTGAACCGGGGACCTTTCACAATGGCGCAAGTCTATGCGAAGCGAAAATCATACCACTAGACCATGTACCCTAACAGTTGAATTATATTATCAGAATTTTACTTTATATGCACGCCCAGCTCTATTTGTCCGGTCCGAAGCATTGCAAACTTACCTGAGTATCGCCGATCGAAATCATATCAATCAGTACACATTGAAAAGCTCTGGGAGCAATACTAGCGAGAATAGACTTGAACAAATGTATTTATATTCCTTCATTTCGCACGTCATACGACACTGTGTGTGGTAACTAACGAACTGATGAATGACGAACCAGACCAAACACGCACCAACTTCCTTGAGGTAAATGTTTTGCCGCCGTGTCATATCCACCCGTCAACCTGCGTACCAGTTCAGCGCCAGTAATGATTTTCATAATCCCAGACATCCTCTCGCGAGGTTCCCTAATTCCATCCAGTATATATTCGCAGATGGAGCGCCGCTTTGAGGAACCAATCGACAGTAAACTGGAAGCACCAAGAGGAAAGCCCTCATATAAAAGAAGCATCTTAATCATCCATCCCCAAAACCCGCGCGCCCGCTCAAAGAATGGAACCCAGAAACTAACCAAGTAAAAAAGATATACATCCGAAATGAAGGGACGTGTCCAAGATGGACAAAACAGCCAAGGTAGTCCCGTCCAGGCAAAAAAAAAAAAGAGCAACTGTATCCATCAGAAAACAACCACAGGGTATGATCCAGAAACAGGGTGAGCAACAACCCCCAGTATTAGGATAACGTAAGGTAGGATCTAAAAACCTGCAGCGTGAATGAAGCCATGTAAAACGTAAAAGTGTGTATGTATTTCTAACAAAAACAACAGTGTATAAAGAAGGGCGCGGACCCCGAGAATGTAGTAGTTTCTCTTTTCTTTCTTGGGTATTGATCAATCCTTTTTGTTTGACCATTGTCGGGAAGTAACAAGAACGGAGTACAACATGGCTTCCTTTGCAGGGTTTTGTCCACAGTGGTGGCAGTAGTCTCAAGGTCTAAGTAGTTTTCTCTTGTTGCGCACGCTCGTTGATTCAGACAGCAGGCTCAGCGGCTGGCGTGCAATAGAGGTTTGGTGTAGTATGGTAGTATTGGTCGCAACAGACACTGTCGAAAACAAAGGACTGGTAGGCAGGACGATACAGGTCCAGCGGCATAGAGGGTATCGAAACGGAACCGCCGATTTCCGTGATTTCATCATGGCGTTAACAAACTGCAAGACGAAGATGCAGATATGGGTATCAAAAAAGAAAAAAGAATCATTTAAAAAGCTTCTGAGCAGAATTGGCGCTCCAGGAGATACCAGACCGGGAAAGACCCCTCGCGCCAAGAGTGAAATCAGATCTGAGCAGGAAGAGCCTGGCTTGTGTTGCCTCCTCTCATCCACCCAAACACGCCATTGCTCATAGCAGCAGTGGAGCTTGAGAGTGCGTCGATAGGAGTCCGTAGTTGTTGGATCTCTCGAGGCTCAAGTAGAAGACTCTTCCTGTAATGCGTGGCCTGGGTATTGGCACCTGCTTTGTCCTTCTCTCGAACGCGGTCAATCTGAGTCGAAAGCCACTCCTGAAAGTCTGGCACTTCTGCCAGCGGGTAGGGAATCTGAAAGCGCTGCAACTCTCCAATGCTCTTGGCAGTTCGGCTATGCTTGTCGAAGTTGACCACTATCAGACCGGTGTCTGTGGTCTTTGTAGCCGGATTTCCAACATCGACGAAGGTGAGGTCAGTCAAGAACATGCCGAGGAACGGGAGGCAGGGCGGCGGCCGATCTGCAAGCCGCGCGCGAAGAACCTTGTAATTCTGGTTGAAGTCGACGATCGCCTGTAGCGATTTGAGCATCGCCTTGCGCTTGACACTGACGGTATCCCAGGTCATCTTCAAACGCTTAATGCTCGTGTCGGTTAAAGCGCAGGTAATCGCCATCAGGGCATCGTAGTTGTGAAGTTGCGCGCACTCGTGCGAGATCTTAATCCAGTGTTTGATGACCAGAGCCCGCTTTTTGATCTCATCGAATTGTAGGATTGTATCCGCAACTAGATTGGATAACCCAGTCGTAAACGCAGACATTGCCTTCACATTCGGGGCGCCGATGCCGCCAGACTTGGTCCATCTTGAGCCAAGAAGTTCCTCGGGCATGATTGAGCAGAAGAGCGCCATCTGCTTGATCGTCAATTGCCGAGCGATTTCGAGGGGGTCAAAGTCGAGAATGAGGGGGGAGACACCCCCAATCTTCCAGTTATGCAACGCATTGGCCTGGCTCCTGGAAACATTAGGCTGGGGCGGTATCATGGATGGTAAGGGTTGCGAGGCTGCGGCGCTGGCTTTACCCATTGACGAGACAATGCGTGGTACCAAGCTACCATCGTTCGACGATACCTTGTCAGCCAAGTCAAGCAGACGCTTCGATGCCGACGGCAAAACCGAAGCCAACTTGAATTCGGCAAAGTGCCTAATAAGAGGCAAAGCTTCATGATCATGTTCTTGTCTCCAGTGTGATTCAAGCCATCCCTTGAATACGTTGGACGTCCGTAACCGAACTGGTCTGGACATGTGAGGCGCTTCGCCGACATATTCAAAGCGGTCAATCAGAGTTTCGGCAAGCTTGATGGGTGTGCAGAAGAGGCGGAAGGTGAGATAGAAGGTGGACACAAACACCGCATCGGGGGTAGATTCATGGGTGGTGAGTCGCTCGACCAGTGCGGCAAGTGACCCACCTGTCACCTGGCCCTCCTTGTTAAACATGAGTTCATGCGCATAGGTCTTCTCGAGCAATTTCGACTCGACATCCTCGACCTCCTCCGCCTGTGTCATGCTCTCAGTGGAACTCTCGGCCACGCTCTCGTCTCCGCTCAGCTCAGAGAGCGAGGGCTGGTTCCTAGGGGCGGGGGTGTGTTCGGGTGTGGTCGCGCGAGTCGAGGTTTCAGACACAATACTCGATTCCGAGTCTCGGCTGAGATAAGTGCTAGCAGAGCCAGAGCTACAGGCTGTCATGCTTTCTGTACGGAAAGAATGAAACTCATTATCGTGACTGGCAGACTGCTCGATAGTGCTGTAGTCCTCGGTGGGAAGCAACGTCGTGGAGATCCTCGGTAGTGGCGGGAGAGCGGGGCGAAGAGAAGCCACCGAGGAAACCATGCTTGAGGCGTTGTCATCGATAAGCGCCTGTGGCCGTGAGACGGGCGAGGAGGAACGTGTCCCAGGTAGTGACTCTTCCATCACAGGCGAGGTGATCGAGGGGACGTCTGGTAGTGGTTTGTCCATCGTCAACGCAACAGGTCGCGACACTGCTGAAGAGGTTGCCGAGACAGCGGTCGAGGTAGTCGGTGCCTCGGAAACACTGGACTCGGCGATGCTGGCGGATTCTCCTCCGTCTGACCTCCTCTTTTCCTCTTGCATAAAGTCCAAGGCGGAAAGATCGAGGTCGAAAGTTGGCTTGCCGCCATTGAATTCGAACTCAAAATCACCAATACGCTCAATGACCCATTTAGTCTTTGCGACGCATTCGCCGGTGGCCTTAACACAGCTGGTGGCGGCCCCCAAAAGGCGGCAGTTATCTTGGGGCACAATCATATCCTCCATGTCCGGTCCGGTGCTGGTGAGGATATCGCGAGCGGTCCGCATGAGGTCTTGGATGTGGTCATACATTGCGGCACGCGAATGATCCAGGGCCTCAAGACCGACCGAGTTGTGGGCGCAGACAATGTCAACGACCACCAGCAGTTCTCCGCCTGACGATGCCGACTGCTTGATCGCGAGTGCAAGGTGGGGTCGGGACTGCGACTGTATCTGCAGCCGACCGATGAAAGAGCCAAGGTGAGACAGGAAGATATCATGGCACGAGTTAAGCCGCTCCGAAACCAGATTTTGCGACCGCGAGAGAGACGGAGGACCGGCCAAACTGAGGCGATGAGAAATGGTTGAGGATAGGCGATTGACCTGCAACGGGGTATTTTGTGACAATCGGCGCACATTTGTACCCGCCTGGTAAACCGAGGACAAACGCTTGTTGGCAGGCGCCGACTCTTGTGCTGCCTCGCTTGTATCCGACGGGGCCGGCTCGGCAGCATCTCCGTTTTCGTCCACGCGGGAGCCTGCATCGCTGACCTCGACTTGGACAGAGCCAAAGGTCGTCGACTCCGCCGGTGGCGTCGGTGGCACATAGGCTTCCTCCATTACGGTGGTCATGATGGCGACTGCGGGCATCCGTGATTGCCTCTCGTTCTCTATCTGCTTCAAGAACTTGACACCCTTAGTAACAATCTTGAAGGCTTTCAGAATCATCTCGTCAATAACATCGTTTATCTCTTCATCTGCGTCGGTCAATTTTTGGGCTTCTTGTAGCCTTTTAGATGTCTTGACCAGCAACGACAGCTCTGATAATAGCGATTTGCGACACCTTCGCAGTCCATCGTGTCTCTGGACGAGCGGGGACTCTCTTGTAAGACAGTGGGTGCGCTCCTGTGTAAGTGTCAGCGATCCCATGTCAGAACCACCCCTTCTCAGTGACACCATTAACCTACCAACAGATAGCGGACGCCACCGATAAGTCCCTTCATGAACTCCTGGTTGCCAAATATTTCGGTGTCATTCACCGAGGTGCTTCGCATCAGGTCCCAGAAGTTCAGCAGCGCCTTGAGAAGGTTTCTCATCTCTTCCGGGTCGTATGCTTCGCAGTAATTCGTGGGTAGCCACCCCCTCGCTCCGGATACCAGTAGAGTGCCATCGGCCCAGCCATTGGTGTGGATAGAGTGCACCAAAATGACGTCTCCCTCGCTGAGCGGCAATGTCACGGTGGAATCGGTCATGACATAGTCAGGATTGTACGGATAAAAGGCTCGTAGGAAATTGTGGAACACTGGACCGGAACTAGGGGGCGCGTTAAGGTCTTCTTGCGAGCCATTGGGGGTGGTTGGCGGAGTCATCTCCGCCTGGGAGTAGTAGTCGGTGGACGTGGTCTCTGAGCCATCGTCGAATGAGTCCGATTTCGTTTTCTGAATAGCCAAGGGAGCCACTTGGAGGCTCGATCGCAACGGTTGTTCACTCA